CTGCATTCATCAGGTGCAGAAAAACAGGTCTAAGGATATGGTGTGAACAAGGAATAACACAAGCCAAATTTCATTACCACAGGCTAATTGTGAAAGTAAAAAAAAAACATTTTTGAAATGATATCCTCAAAGAAGAAGGAAGGGGTGAATGGAACAAAGTGGAGGGAGTTAAAGATAAAAGAAGGAAGGAAGGAAGAGTGGAGAGAAAGAGAAAGAAAGAAAGAAAGAAAGAAAGAAAGAAAGAAAGAAAGAAAGAAAGAAAGAAAGAAAGAAAGAAAGAAAGAAAGAAAGAAAGAAAAAAACAAAGAAAGAGAAAGAAAAAGAAAGTGGAGGGAGTGAAAGACTAAGGAAATAAGAAAGAAAGAGAGTGGAGGGAGTGAAAGATTAAAGAAATAAGAAAGAAAGAGTGGAGGGAGTGAAAGATTAAGGAAATAAGAAAGAGCGGAGGGAGTGAAAGATCAAAGAAAGAAAGAGTGGAGGGAGTGAAAGATTAAGGAAATAAGAAAGAAAGAGTGGAGGGAGTGAAAGATTAAGGAAGATTAAGGAAATAAGAAAGAAAGAGTGGAGGGAGTGAAAGATTAAGGAAATAAGGAGTGGAGGGAGTGAAAGATTAAAGAAATAAGAAAGAAAGAGTGGAGGGAGTGAAAGATTAAGGAAATAAGGAGTGGAGGGAGTGAAAGATTAAGGAAATAAGGAGTGGAGGGAGTGAAAGATTAAGAAAATAAGAATGAAAGAGTGGAGGGAGTGAAAGATTAAGAAAGAAAGAAAGAAAGAAAAAAAGGAAGAAAGAAAGAAAGAAAAAAAAAGAAAGAATGGAGGGAGTGAAAGATTTAGTTAATAAGAAAGAAAGAAAGAAAGAGAAAGAAAGAAAGAAAAAGGAAGAGTGAAGGGAGTGCAAGATTAAGGAAATAAGAAAGAAAGAGTGGGAGTGCAAGATTAAGGAAATAAGAAAGAAAGAGTGCAAGATTAAGAAAGAAAGAAAGAAAGAAAGAAAGAAAGAGCGGAGGGAGTGGAGAAGGAAGGAAAGAAGACGAGTAAGGAAAATAGGAAGAAAGCAAATAAATAAAATAAAGACTATGATTTGCTTGTGACTAATAGCTTGACTATAGAGGACAGTAAACTCTTGTAAATTGTCACCATCTAGTGGCTGTTATACTATACTGCTATTTTTTGCATTACACAGTAGATTCAAACCAAACTGAATTACAAGACCTGGTCCATTAGCCTCTTTTGTTCACTATGTATGTATGTATTTATTTATTTTAATTTAATAAAAGCATATTTGACAATTAAGATTTCGTTTTAGTCCCTTTTAATCCCTAAATCCCTCAATGCACCATTGTGAGATTGGGAGTTTTTTTAAACCATTATTTTCAGTTCTCCTATTTTGTGCCACATTTAAAAAGTGGTGAAATCTGAATTTTGCTGTAAAAAAGAAAACAATTGTCCAGGTTACTCTAGTAAGTGATGCATATATACACTAGGAGTCTTCCTTGCCCTCCGTAATGTAGAAATGGCTTTGCTCTATTTTTCCAGTTTGGGCAATTTTGCCTGTTTTTTGGTTCCTGATCTCCAGTTTGGCCAGAAAATATCATAGCTTTCTGGCCAATGAGGAAGCCGGGCGCTGTGTAATGACACGGTGCCCAGCTTCCTGATTAGCCGGGAACCCGGCTCCATGCTCCCTCGTCATGAGGTGACGAGGGAACATGAAGCCGGCTTCCCGACCAATCAGAAAGCTGGGTGCCCTGTCATCCAACGGCGACTGGCTTCCTGATTGGCCAGCTTGCAATGAATCAGGAAGCCGGGCAGTGCGTCATTACACAAGTGACGAGAGAGCATGGAGCCGGCTTCCCGGCCAATCAGGAAGCTGGGCAGTGTTAAATGGCGCGCTGCCTGGCTTCCTACAACCGAAAGTATCAGGCTAGACATCTGAACATTTGGGCAAGTACGAATACTTACCCAAATACTCGGCTTCGGCACCGATACTAGTATCAGTATCGGTGCATCCCTACTCCCTATTGCCTTCTGGATAATTGCACCAGGAGTTAAATCTTAAAAATATATTCAAGTACCTTAAAGTGACATTAAACCCTCAGGTTTTTTAACATAAACCAATACTGTAATGTGTGCATTACTGTAATCCATGGTTGTTTCCCTTCTCTTTGCCGCTCTTCCTTTTAAATCCTCATGTCTTCTCATGCTGGGGGAGAACTTCCCTTTGCAGCTGACTGCCTCTTCCTGTAGTGCTGGCTCAGGTTGCAAACCTATATACAGACACCGTGTATCCATTCCAGAGACAAGGCAGTCTGCTGCAAAACAGAAGTTCTGCCCAGCATGAGAACAGATACAGATTTAAAAGGAAGAGCAGCAAAGAGAAGGGAAACGACCATGGATTACAGTAAGGCGCACATTACAGTATTGGTTTATGTTAAATAATCTGAGGGTTTAATGTCACTTTAACTATTAAAAGAAATGTATCTTATTTGTGTATCACTCGGCTGTAGATTCTCAAATCATCTCTGAATTGGTGCTGTCACTGTCCTTCCTTCTGGAGGGTGGCTACTTTTGTACAGTATGCAGTATGACCAGGCACTGACTTCTACCCATCCAATCCCTTTGCTAAGAAAAGTTGCTTTCAGTTGGTGCAGAAAGTTTGGCATCATTCAGTGCAGGAGAAATATTTCACAATCAGGAAAACAAACAACTAGTACACATGAGCTGATATTATGTAAGTTTGTTTGTATTTTTATGATGTTCATTGATAGGACCCTGTCTTGTTATTGATGTTGCCCGGATTGTAGAGCTTGCCTGTGAGGTTGTATGTTACCGGAGGTATTGTTTACTTTTGGAAATAATTGTAACATACTAAACATTCTGAACACATCCTCCAGCAATTGCAACATTTTTTATTTTCAGAATGAACCCAGCAAAGCGGAGATTCCACCTGTGTAAAAGGAGGAGTTAATGTTCCATTAAGTTACTTTAATAAAAACAAAAGCTAGCTATACCCGTTACAGATATGCAAAAAGAAAATTATAAAAAAAAGGGCCCTAAAAGCTTCCATAACTGTACAGAGATCCATCTACATGCAGATGACATCCTGAACAGCATAATCTAAAACAATACATTAAACAACAGTGCGCTGCACTTTATAGCAAATGCACATCAAATATTTAATATATTACATTTTATACAAATATGGAAACCTTAATTACCCGATTCATAAAAAATAAACATAAAGGTCCCTATGTATTGATTGTTTGATTTTGACACTTGACTGTGTTTTTATATTGATGAGGTTTTGGGTTGATTGTTTTTTGTTTTTGTTACAGCTGGTAATGATAAAAATTTTCGTGTTCGATTAATCAAATTTATTTTTAATCGATTAATTATAACGCACATACAGATCCAACTACATTGGCCTACACACATACAGCACAGCAATGAAGTAATAAAATGAACTAGGATCACACTAATCCAGCACGTTATTAATCTCACGTGCCCCACTCAATATGGCCGCCGCTTGAGTGGGGCAACTCAGAATAATAACGTGCTGGATTAGTGTGATCCTAGTTCATTTTATTACTTCATTGCTGTGCTGTATGTGTATAGGCCAATGCCTTGGCTGGCACTCGTGTAGAAAGTTTCTTGGGCAAACTCACCGGCCCAAGTGGCTCCGTCGGCTAACGAAGGGGGGAGGAGTCCGGTGACGTCACGGACATCAGCGTCACCGGACTCCTCCCCCTTCCCTTTGTTAGCCGTCACGGACATCGTAGTCACCGGACTCCTCCCCCTCTTCGTTAGCCGACTGAGCCAATTGGGAAAGGGGGACTCCCGGAAGCCGGCGGAGAGGTGAGTGTTTTCATTAGTGATCAAAATTATTTTAATCGATCAAAAAGTTTAACGATTAATCGAGAAATTAATCTTTAATTTCCACAGCCCTAGTTTTTGTATTTTTTGGTGCAATTTATAAAGTTTTCTAAACTGTGTCTTACCTTATAATACATCTTTTCAAATTACAACTTTCCAGCTGATGGTAAACAAAACCAAGTGGTTGTTTAAAAAAACAAAGGGGTCTATTCACTAAGCTGCCGTAGGCAATGGAGTGAATGACCAACCTGAAGTGAAGTGAGCTGAACACTGTTCGGCTATACACTTCAGGCTGGTACGGCTGAAGCAAAGATAAACCAGTTTCTATGACAAACATTTTATTTTTATTGCTTTGTTTACACTTACATACTACAAATTATTTTCAAAATACATTGATCATTTCTATTAGTCCTCCAAAGATGACCACAGTCAGATGTCCCCACTGAATTTTGGGTAAATGACCTACAAATATTTTCTTGAGAACAACAAAACACAACTATGGCAATATTGAGAGAAAACATACCTTCATAAATATGTGTATTGGATGAATTGTTTCTCATATGAGTTTTCTTTAAAAGGGGGGGGGTGAAAAAAAAGTGCATTTACTTTAGATATCTAAGAGTATTTTTAGGTGCCCTTTTATACTGTACATTCACAGTATTTCAGTGTCCTTTTATACATTTAAATAATTAATTTTTAACTTGTTAAAAGGAAAAGAAATATTGAGAAACCACATAAAGAAAAGAAGAAATTCTGGGGGAAATAAAAGTCAACAAGACAAAAAAGTTAATAATCAAGATAGAGTGGGCGACAAATGGAAAAAAAAAAAGCCAAGAAAAATACTAAGTACATAGAAGAGGATAACTGGATTAAACTCCTGAAATTTGAGACTAAAAAAAGTGACTAATCCCTTTTTCTACCTAAAAACCATTTCAGCTTGTTGTGCAAGCTACTGATAACTGTGGCTAACCCTCTGCCCTTATATTGCTTACTCTACTTATCCCCTCCCTCTAGCTCTGTCATTAATCAACCACTGAATATCCTTTTCTTTTTTTACTGGGCCTCGGTATCATCCATTGCTTAAAAACATCACATCAACAATACACGGACCATCATCCCTTCTGGAAATTATGACCCGGTTTGTACTGGTACTGCTTGCACTTGCTGTGCTCTCCCCTGGGGCCTGTGCGTTGTGGGACACCACTGAGGTACAAGTTTATATTATTTAAAAATAAGGATTTTTGTTTTTGTGTGTGTTTTACATTTAATGCTGTACAGCAGAGTATTGGAATATGACCCCTGCTTTCAAATTTGTCTTTCAAACTTTGACCTCAAAAGGGTTACTATATGAGTCGAGAGTCAAACATTAAAGTTAAGAATTGAACTGAAAATAATTCATTAAAAAATAAACAGATTATAAATGCCAAATACATGTCAAACTCACATTACTATTTCACATATAATTTTTTTTTAGAGCACATTTATCATATATAGTACCAGTACCATATTTTTACCGTTAGTTTACCTTAAATTGTATTTTTAAAACAAATGTGTATAAAGTTAGCCTTAAAACTTTTAACTTGATTGTTTAAAAAAAAAGTTTTAATGTAAAGCAGTTTATCACATTTAAAGGTTTCTAAAAAATAAATGTATTACTTCAGCAGTAACGTGTTGTTTAATATTGCAGCAGTACATCTGTCTAATATTTTCAATTGTTTCTGTTAGATTTAAAAAAAAAATTTATCTGAACGTATCTGAATTTCTTTCTAAATATCATTTGTTGGTAAACGTCAAAGTAGAAAAAAAAAAAAGCCATGAAGTTCACTCTCCAATTCATACCAGACCCTTTAGGTCAGGTTGGAATGTTAGGAATGCCAAAAAAGCATGGGATTCCCCTCAAAAGTCACAGCAGACCCTGTAAGTCTGGTAGGAATTTTAAGGGAAACTCCAAAGCCAAAAAAAAAGTGTGTGGTCCCCCCTAAAATTAATGCCAGACCTTTATCTGAATCTGGGTGCCCCCCTTCATAAAGGGGACACCTAGATCCTGCCCCCCCCCCTTGTGAATGAGTACGGGGTAGTTGTTACCACTATTCATTCACCAAATAGTAAATAAAATAGTAAATAAACGCACAACACCTTGAAAAAGTCCTTTATTAGAAAATAAACAAAATACAGTTATTGAGAAGTCTTTTATAAGTCCTTTAAAAAAACCAAAGAAGTGTCCATCGATGCAATCCAAAGGTCAATCACATCATCCAGCGATGTAGATCCACATCAATCACAATGAACGACGGCCTCCAACTCCCTGAAACACTCAACGCCCTCCGACCCATCTGATTCCGATGAACACCACTTCAAAATGACAGATCTGATTTGAATGTCAACAAATGGGCGGAGCGAGTTGTGGTGTCACGACTCGCTCCACCTCTTTGTTGACATTCATGGCGAGGTGTGTAATTTTGTGGCTAGAGTTTGTCGGGATTGGACGGGTCGGCAGAAGTCGGGTGTTTTTTATTTCGGCGATTCGGCGGTCGTCATTCATCGTGATTGATGTGGATCTACATCACTGGATGTCATGATTGACCTTTGGATTGCATCAATGGACACTTTTTTTGGGGGGGGGGGGGGGGGGGATCTGGGCACCCAGATTCAGATAAGCCCCCCTTCCCACAGATCCCCTCAATCACCGGGCCAGGGTTGTGGGGAAGAGGCCCTTGTCCTCATTGACAAGCGGACAAGGTGCTTTGCCAGGGGGTGTCCCCCTGGCAAAGCACCCTCCCCATGTCAAGGGCATGTGTCCTGGTATGGTGCAGGAGGAGCACATGCTTGTCCCCCTCCTTTCTTGCCTTGCCAGGCTGCTGCTCGGATCAAAGGTCTGGTAAGGAACTTTAGGGGGGACCCCATGCATTTTTTTGGCATTGAAGCTGCCCCTTAAAAATCCTACCAGACCTAAAGGGGAACTTGCTTTTTTTTGTTTGGCATTGGGGGTCTCCCATAATATTCCTACTAGACCTAAAGGGTCTGGTATAAATTAGGGGGAACCCCACTTTTTTTTATATTGTTTCTGCGGACTGTTAAAAATATGTCATTTGTTTTTTCTTATGTCACTTTGCTGCAATGAAAATTGTTTTTTAAATACTAATGTATCCGAAATTAACAGGAATCTGAATCCTAAGCCAAAATTGACTTTGAACCTGTATCCCAAAAAACGTAATAATGTAAAATCTGAAACAAACCAATTTTTTTTCCAGCGCACATGTCTATGAAACATACCTGCTTGTGATGCTGGAACACACTTTCTATTTGTCTGAAAATATAAACCCTAAAATAAAACTATTATTCACATTACAATTCTGAGTCCCCGCATTTACCAGCATTACATATTTTTAGATGTTCCTGAAGACACTGGATTCCGAGGGGTTCCTCTCATACTTTGGCACCGAAAACATCTCAGGTAAGCGAAGGGAACACACGACTAGGAATCCACTCAGCTATTCAACTGTGAAATTTGGTGATTTCTGATTGCCTGTACTGAGTATAAAGCTTTACTATTATTTCCAAGCATAGAAACATTAGTAATAAGATACATTGATCTCCAGATGTCTGGTATTGGTAACTTTCTGCGTGAGGCCTACCTATTTGATCACTGAAAAAGCGTATCTAAACCCAAAAACAAAGAATTTATATTTTGCAGCTTACCAATCCCGAGATGTGGTTAGTTTCCTTTTAGCAGGCTCTTTTTCATTTATTATCACCTGGTAATCCTGCCAGAGAGTGATACACTTCCTGTTCTAGGATGACAACACTCACTGTAGTGTATCTATGAGGGAGCAGTGTTGTCATACTAGACTGTGTTCTAATTTTGGATTACTAGAACCTCCCCTTGCCTCATTTACATTACATGGGAAAAGGGAATTGTTTTGTAGTTCACAGAATATTTTAGTTAAATACACAGTAAGTTACAAGCACACAAGATTTCTGGCAAGATCAATAGGTATTTTTCTGTAACCCTCACTGTAAGGGTTAATCGTTTAAATAACTGGAGTTCCTCTTTAAAGTGTATCTAAAGCCACACTTTTTTTAATTTTGGATAGAGACAATTAAACCCCCTCAAATTTTAATGTGAGCCCTGCTGAGGATATTCACCCTATTTCTCCTGTCATCTCGGCAGAAAGTGATGAGAAATCCAGCATTTTACTGCTGTCACCAGAAGAGGAGGTGAGGGAAAATCTTTTTATGGGGACAGCTAACTTCCCTTTCCATTGAAGGGATTTTATCTCACTTCCTGCTGTGTGTCTGGGAAAGCTAGTGAGGAACACTCTCCATAATGGGAACTAACTCAAAAAAAAAACAACTAACAGTCATTCTAACCCTTCCATAGTCCATAAAAAAACAACGATTTTTTGGTTTTAGATACATTTTAACACCAAATTGGGCTGTCATGGGCATAGAGTAATTCACAAAGACCAGAAACCAGAGGGGTGCAGCCAGCTGCAAAAACAGACATGCTCATGGAGGTTAGTACTTCTCTACAGGCCAGCTGTGAGCCAGCTTATATGTACAATGTCATATCTTTTCAGAGCAGAGTCCTTTTTGAATTTTCCTTGTGAAACCAGAAACATGACACTATTTTCCTTTCTCTGCAGCCTCTGACATTGCATTGACAAACCTGACATGTACCTGTGAGGATACATCCTGGACACCACTGTGCTCTGCCACCCTTTGCACCCTTCACTCCCACCTGGGAAAATATAGCTTTACATTCCAGGAGAAGTACCGGCCTGTCACTGCACAGCGGGTTTTAAATGCTTCTATGCACCACCTCATGCAATTCCCAAAGTCTTGTGGGTCAATCGGGACTGCGCTGTACCCCCATGGGGCGAGATCTCTGGTAACTTTCTGTGACGGACAGCTGGTGAGTCTAATAAATTCCTGGGATCCTGAGAAACCATGAGGAGAGCTCCTATGCAGGAGCGTCCTTAGCCTGTGTACGGCCCCAATCCACCTCCTAGCAAGCTGGGATGCTCTGGCCAGTCCCCCTACGTGACCCAAAGGGATGCCACCAGAGGCAATTGCCTTATTAAAGGGACAACCCTGCTCCTGTGCATGATGGCAGTTGAACCTTCCTTGCCACTCAGAGGAACTAAAACACGTTTGGTACATGGACCTGGTAGTTTATGGGCACAGGGACATAAAAAAAGTAGGGGTTTTTCACAGACAAGGAAAAAATGGCCTTGATTCAGCAAATGACAGTAGCATAAAAGGTATGCTAAAATAAGATATTGACTGAGAGATCATGCCTTACAGCCATTTAAAGGTGTCTTAAATGTGATTGCATTTTGATTAATTATTGGGACATTTTAGTTCTTGGTAGTGTTTTTCTGGCTAATAATTGTACATTTTTTAATCTTTTATCCTCCCAGCGTGGGTTTATCACGACGGACTTTTACCATTTCTTTATCCAGCCGCTAAAGAAGAGGCATTCTATGCAGAGACAAGGACTTTCAGACCTTCATATAATGTCCAGAGCAGAAATTGCACACACAGGTACGAAGGCTAAACAGGCTGCGGTGGTATCTACCATACAATCTTTTGGACTGAGAAGTGTCTTGGTCTACCTACACTATAGACTTGTGCGCCGTTTCGTTTCATTCCGTTTCGTAATATCCATTATTTCGTATTTCGTAATTCGTATCCGAAACTCAATTCGGATTCGTACGAAATACGGATTTTCGTTAGTTTCGGCAATACACAGTATACCACTGAGAGGCCTGACCTGCACACAGAATTACAGTATTTAAAATATGTCTGGTATGTCTGGTAAAGTGACTCGATTTCTTCCTGCCGTGTAGATTCACCAAAACACCACGAAGCCCATCACCTGTCAAAAAGAGCGGCTGTCGGGGTTAAACATCTGGAACTCCTGGTGGTCGCTGGTTATGACGTCTATCAGTTTCATCAGGAGGACACGGAAAGATATATCCTTACCAACCTAAACATTGTATGTACAGTCATTTACCCCTTACCAATTCCATTAGTCAACTGTGGGCATGTCGTTTTTTAACCAGTCCTGCAAATATGACATCTGGGATTTGGATGTTTGCTCTAAGCAAGGGTTCCCATAACAGGGGGGTTTTATTAAAGAAAACACATAATGGATTTATATATATATATTTTCTGTTCAATGCAAAGATTAAATAAAAGTGTGGCTAGACCTATACTTTAACTGCTGTACTAAAAATTCCTGTTGTTTACAGAGCACAATAGCTCAAGCATAATGTCTGGGAGCAGGGAGCCCTACTAATAAGGATATTAATACTTGGCAAAACCAAGTTTTTCAATAGGTAAATATAAAGTTTGATCATATTATGTTGCAGGGGGCAGAGCTGCTGAGAGATGTCTCCCTCGGAGCCTCAATCCGCGTCCATTTGGTCAAGATGATCATTCTCACTGAGCCAGAGGTAATGTTTTATCATGGAGGGCACAGGGAAATCTGTGTAACATAGTTTTTACTTTGTCTTATTACCAGTCAGCCATTATTGCTTAACTTTAATAAGTCCATAAAACAAAATACTAACACACATTTAGGGCTCCATTTGTAAAACTTCAGCCTGGCGGATGCTCTTCACATGGCACTTGCGTTCCTAGGTGGTGCTGATCTATACTTGTCAACGCTATCAAGGTGCAGCCCTTCATTTTAGAGGTTTTGATGGGACTTTCAATCCTGTCTGTAAAAAGATTATCATTAAAAATGGAGGGTGGAATTGCCATTAAAGAAGTACAGACACATTGTATTGTCTTAATCCTTATGTCAACAGGCCAGCATCCAGATCAGTCCCAACCTAACGTCATCTCTGATGAGTATGTGTGAATGGAGCAGGAAAATCAATCCTCAGAGTGACTTTGACCCCCAGCACGCTGATCTCGTCCTCTACGTCACCAGGTATGACATGAGGACAGCTTAATATCAATGCTTGTTTAATTACTGGTTACAGTAACCCATAGCAACTGGTCAGAACTCTGCTTCTAGTGAAATTAAATCTGATTGGCGGGGGGTTACTGAATACTGCACATTATTGCTTTTTTTTATACTATTGTATTAGTGGATTAAGTAATCAAGTAACCGTATAGATTTTATTTTGCTGCAGTCTATGGCCCAAGATGAGATCAGCCTGATTAACAAAATAATTCATATGGTATTGAGATCACCAACCAATTAACACTGTTACCTACTTCCTATGTAAGTAGAGACAACCAAAATACAAATGCAAGATGGGACACTCTTATAGATTTTGTGTCTGTGTACACGCTTGGTCCTGTGACCTAAAAAGCTCAGATAGGGCAGTCTCCTCGTTGCTTTCCTGACATGTTTCCGTTCAGTATACAGGACTCACTATTACCAACCACTCTACTTTCTTTCTTTATTGAAGGTTTGATCTAGAGTTACCGGATGGAAATAATCAAGTTCGAGGGGTGACCCAACTGGGTGGGGCATGCTCATATTCCTGGAGCTGTGTCATCACCGAAGACACCGGCTTTGACCTGGGGATCACTATGGCCCATGAGATTGGGCACAGGTAACACATCATTGTCTTGTTATGTGCTTGTGCTGGTACATGCTCGTTAACGGGATAGGGGGAGGGGGTTGAGTTGTTGGGGGGTGCTGGCGGTGTATGCTCATTAG